TACTTGGCTTATACATCACCTCAGAGTCATGGTCCCAGACCTGTAATTAAATTATGTCTATAATCAAGGATTATAGATTAATAGATTACAAGGCCAGAAGGGATCACTAATCTGACCTTTTGTATAGCACAGGCCAGAGAACTTCCTTGAAATAATCCCTAGAGCAGATGTTTTAGAAAAAAATATCAAATCTTGAGTTAAAAATTGTCGGTGATGGTAAATCCACAGTCTTAGGTATACGCAAAAAGAAAAGGAGTACTTGTGGCACCTTAGAGACTAACCAATTTATTTGAGCATGAGCTTTCGTGAGCTACAGCTCACTTCATCAGATGTATACCGTGGAAACTGCAGCAGACTTTATATATACACAGAGAATAGAATATTGTTTCATATTCTCTGTGTATATATAAAGTCTGCTGCAGTTTCCACGGTATACATCTGATGAAGTGAGCTGTAGCTCACGAAAGCTCATGCTCAAATAAATTGGTTAGTCTCTAAGGTGCCACAAGTACTCCTTTTCTTTTTGCGAATACAGACTAACACGGCTGTTACTCTGAAACCAGTCTTAGGTATGTTGTTCCAATGGTTAATTACTCTTATTGTTAAAAATGTTCACAATCTGAATTTGTCTAGCTTCAACTTCCAGCCAATGGATCCCATTATACCTTTCTCTTCTAGACTGAAGAGCCCATTATTAAATATTTGTTCCCCATGTAGGTACTTATAGACTGTAATCCAGTCACCCCTTAACCTTTTATTTGTTAAGATAAACAGATGGAACTCCTTGAGTCTATCACTACAAGGCATGTTCTCTTATCCTTTAATCATACTTGTGACTCTTCTCTGAACCCTCTCCAATTTATCAACATCCCTCATGAATTGTGGGCACCAGAACTGGACATGATATTCCATCAGAAGTTACATGAGTGCAAAATACAGTGGTAAAATAACTTCTCTACAACTGCTTGAGATCTTCTGGTTTATGCATCCAAGGATTACATTTGTGATTTTGGTTACACCACCTCCTGGGTGCTCATATTCATCTGATTATCCACCACTATCTCCAAACCTTTGTCAGAGTCATTACTTGCAAGGTTATAGTCATCTGTCTTGCAAATATGGCCGGCATTCTTCATTCCTAATGTATACATTTATATTTAGCCATATTAAAAATCATATTATTTGCTTGCTCCCAGTATACCAAGCGATCCAGATCACTCAGTATCAGTGACCTATCCTCTTCATTATTTACCATTCTCCCAAATGTTTTGTCACCTGAAAATTAATGATGATTTTATGTTTTTGTCCAGGTCATTAATAAAAAAGTTAAATAGCTTAGGGCCAAGAACTGATCCCCATGGGGCCTCTCTAAAAATGTACCTATTTGATAATGCTTCCCCTTTTATATTTATATTCTGAGACCTCAGTTAGCTAGCTTTTATTCCGTTTAATATGTGGCAGGCTAATTTTATATCTTTCTAGTTTTTTAATGAAAATGTCATGTGGTATCAAGTAAAATGCCTTACAGAAGTCTATTACATCCAGATTATTACCTTTGTCAACAAACTTGTCATCTTATCAAAAAAGGATGTCAAGTTAGTTTTACAGGATCTATTTTCCATGAACCCATGTTGATTGACATTAATTATATTATCCTCTTTTATAATTGCGTCCCAGATCAGCTGCTACAAATCTCAACCTTCAAGCTCTCCATGAGGGTTTGACCAAGTGAATTCTGAGGAAGGGATCTGTGAGACCTGAAGAAGGCTCTCAGAGTTTGCCCACTGACCTCATTTGGAGAGGTCCAGGGGTAAGGTCTGGGTAAGGCCTTTGAGGTTTCATTGCATATTAGTGGTAATATAGGACTTAAACCTTCCACTTAAGCCAGTGGGTGTTGCTGGAAATTGGCTTTTGATGTGTCTCAAGTTGGGCAGCCAGAACAGGATTCAAAAAAGAACTAGATAATTTTATGGAGGATAGGTCCATCAATGGCTATTAGCCAGGATGGACAGGGATGGTGTCCCAGCCTCTGTTTGCCAGAAGCTGGGAATGGGCGACGGGATGGATCACTTGATTATTTACTTGTTCTGTTCATTCCCTCTGGAGCACCTGGCATTGGACACTGTTGGAACACAGGATACTGGACTAGACCTTTGGTCTGTCCCAGTATGGCCATTCTTATGTTTTTATGTTCACTGGATTTAAAGGACTCTTTTGAAAGTTTGCTTATATAACTCCATTCCCCGCTCCAAGCTTGAGTTGCCCGGCTGCCTTCTGGGAATATTCACTGAGTCCAGAGTGCTGATGCAGATGATGGCTGGATTAACAAATGGTACCATTGATGTCATCCCTACTTCTCTAACATGTCACCCCTACTTCTCCATCGTGACCCAAGGAGCTGCCAGTGCACTGTGCCATGCACGGGTGCCGATATGGGAGCCCAGTTGACTGAGTCTGCACTGACACCACACTGGGCTATGAGCTTCCTTGCACATGGACAAATCCGCATCTTACATAAGTCCGTGCATCTCCTTTGACTTCTTGAGGTGCAAATCACAGGGAGGGTGATTACCCATTGGAACAAACTACCTAGGGAAGTGGTGGATTCTCCATCTCTGGATGTCTTCAGATCCAGAATGGCTGCCATTTGGGAAGATGCTTTACTCAAACTCAAGTTATTGGGCTTAGTTCAGGGGTAACTGAATGAAATGTAATGACATATGATGTATAGGAGGTCAGAGTAGATGATCAGATGGTCCCTTCTGCCCTGAAACTTGATGAATCTATGAATTAGAGCTTTTCCTAAGGAAGGACATAGTAAAATACTCTCTCTCTCTCCAAGGAATTTGGTATTTTGTTTATGACACCAAAGGTAACATAAGCAATTAAAACACTAGATCAGTGGTGCCTTTAGATAATTAACATCTAAAGGATACATAAGTCACGCTCTTCTAATAGCACTGGGAGGTTATTTAACAAGCATTGTGATGCTGATCATTGATTGCTGAACACGGATGGGGTGACCATAGTAAATTTGAGAGACACACTCTGGCCTGTGTTGTGCAGAGGTCAGAGTAGATGATTGCAATGGTCCCTTCTGGCCTAGGAATCTTCAAATCCATGAAAGGGCTGTGACAACAGTAAACACAACTCTTTAAATCCAGCCATCTGCCTAATAGAAGAAGTAGAAAGCTCTTCCCAGCTGTGGCGAATTTAAAGCTGTTCAAAGACAAGTAGAGCTAAGGAGACTGAATTATCTAATTCAAAGGGTAGTGCCATTTATGCATTTTCATACATTAAAGATAAATCATCATTCATTGAACTGTCATAAATGAATTGGAATAGAGGCTTTCTTTCTTTCTTTCTTTCTTTCTTTCTTTCTTTCTTTCTTTCTTTCTTTCTTTCTTTCTTCTACTTATCGATCTAAGAGACAAAGTGGGTGAGGTAATATATTTTATTGAACCAACTTCTGTTGCTCCCTCTCACCAACAGAAGCTAATAAAAGATAAATAAAAGAAAAAAGATTTAAGAAAATGGTTTAATAAAATATATTACCTCACCCACCTTTTCTCACTGATATCTGGGACCAATATGGCTAGAACAAAACTGCATTTATTTATTTCTAGCTAGCTAGCTAAGGTTTTGACCTATTTCAATCTTTCTAGCTATTTAGCTATCTCTGTATGGCTACCATGTAATATCTCTATGCTGTTATAGCTGAAGACTTTTATAATTGTCATATATTATCTATACTGGTTTATTTTTGCTTGTCTGGACATGTTATTTAAATATTGAGGAATTCAATTATTTTTCAAGTTTTTTTTAAATAGTTAATTCAGCTTCAGATATAGACAGCCAAATAGTGCACTATTGTAAATTTGCACAGCTACTTATTCACATCTATTTTAATAGAATTAATGTTCTGTATTCAAAATGATAGACAGATAGATAGATAGATAGATCAGTGGAGTAGACAGACTCAGCTAACATGTGGAGTCAGTGTGTATAGACTGGGATTTCTTGTCAATGGGATTTGGTGCCTTCCTCTTTAGTCTCCCTCAAAAATTCTAGCTGATATCTCTAGTTCAAATGATTGACCTCTCCAGAAGAAATATTGCTATACACCCTTCTCAATGAGACGGGGCCTGATTTTCCTCTTACTCACTTTGGTGTAAATCATAAATTACTCCTTAGTCAAGTGGACAGAGATCATTGGTTTAAAACGGAGAGGGAGGGGGAAAAAAGAGTAATGTTTTTATCAATGAAGATAATGAACAATAGGAACAATTTACCAAGGGTCATGGTGGATTCTCCATCACTGATCATTTTTAAAATCAAGATTTTTTCCCCTAAAAGTTTTCCTATAGGAATTGTTTGGGGGGAGTTCTATCACCTGTGTTATACAGGAGGTCAGACTGAATGATCACAGTGGTCCCTTCTGGCCTTGGAATGTATGTATCTGTTCCACAAAGTGCTACTTGAAACCAGCTCTAGTCCCTTCATTGTGTTATGGATACTTTTAAAATTTGTGGTGTAATGTGCCTTGTTCTTATCTCCCTATGTTGATTTCGGTGAAACTCCATTAATTTCACTGAAGTTACTTCTTATATGTACTAGGTTCTTCTAAGTCTCTGGGCCAGCTGGCCAGCTGGTAGGAATTGGTGTAGCTGTATTGAAATCAATTAGCCAGGCCCCCAGCTGGTGTAAACTGACATTGCTTTATTGGAATGAATGGACCAAATCCACAACTGGTGCAAATCAGTGTCTTTCCTTTGGCTTCTGGGTTTCCTTAAAGCTACACTTATTTACATCAGCTGAGGGTCTGGACCAGTGAGATGATTTATATAGACAGATAGGGTGACCAGATGTCCCAATTTTATAGGGACAGTCCCGATTTTTGGGTCTTTTTCTTATATAGGCTCCTATTACCCCCCCCATCCCGATTTTTCACACTTGCTGTCTGGTCACCCTAACAGGTGAGGAGTGGCGGAGATTCGGAAATGAAGAACCAATCCTCTGTCACAGAGTTCATCTTGGTGGGTCTGTCCAGTTTCCTTGAATACCAGATGTTCCTCTTTGTGGTATTCACCTTCATCTACATGGCCACCCTCGTGGGAAACCTCCTCATCGTCCTCACTATTACTACTAGCAGCAGGCTTCATACCCCTATGTACTCTTGCTCATCAACTTGTCCTTGATAAACCTTATCCATCTCAGTGTCCATCCCCAAAATGCTGCAGAACCTTCTGGAGCACAGGAAGACCATTGCCTTCTTAGGTTGCATTGCACAGATCTGTCTCTTCACTTGGACTCTGGTAAGTGAAGTTCTGGTCCTTGCTGCCATGGCTTTTGACCTCTATATTGCTATCTGCCACCCTTTGCATTACATCATCATCATGAGGAAGGAGGTTTGTGCTGGGTTAATTGCTGGCATATGGATAGTCGGGGTGGCCAATTCTGCAGTCCACACTGGATTTGTGCTCCAGCTTTCTTTCTGCGAAGCAAACATCATCAACCATTTCTTTTGTGAATTGCCACCATTTCTAAAACTCTCCTGCTCAGACACCAGCCTCAGTGAAACCCTGATTTTTCTGGCTGTTGCAGTCTTTGGGATGGGGAGCTGTGTGATAACTTTAATGTCCTATTACTTCATCCTGAGAACTATCTTGAAGATTCGCTCCACAGAAGGCAAGAAGAAAGCCTTCTCCACCTGCTCCTCCCACCTTATAGTGGTCAGCTTGTACTACTCCACAGCCATGTACACCTATATACACCCCTCCTCAGCCTACTCTCCGGACAGAGACACAGTGATCATTATCCTATATTCGGTTATAACTCCAGTGCTCAACCCTATCATATACTCTCTGAAAAACAATGAGGTCAAAGAGGATCTAAGAAAAGTGAAAGGAGACTTGGGCTATTTCAAAGACAATAATATTATCTATCTATCTATCTATCTATCCTACTTATAAGTATAGTATTTATGCACTATACTGATGAGTGTGATTTGTACTTGAAAGTTCTTGCTATTGTATTTACTTTTCAAATAGAATACAATTTATATTCCATTGTTGATGATTTGCTGGATATCCCTGTAATACATCGGGGAACAAAGAATGCAGGTTGGGAGAGGCTCTCGTGGAAAGCAGTGACTCAGAGAAGGATATAGAGATCATCACAGGTAATTGTCTCAAATGAGCTTTCAGTGTGATGCGGGGGCAAAAAGGGCTAATCTGATGCTCGGATGTATAAAAATGTGGGGAAGTGATCTTGCCTCTGTACACAGCATTTGTGAGATCATGGTTGAAATATTGCATCCAGTTCTGGCGTCCACACTTCAGAAAGGATCTGGAAATACCGGAGAAAGTTCAAAAGAGGGCCAGAAAATGTATGTAGGGGCTGGAGAATAAGTCTTATGATGAGAGTGTAACGGAGCTCAATTTACCTAGCTTATCAAAGAGAAGGTTGAGAGGTGAATTGATCACACTGTCTAGGAATTTACACATTGATAAGATATCAGATAGTTAGTGGGGGCTTTTCAACCTGGCTGACAAGTCATAACAGGATCCAAGGGCTGGAAGTGAAAGCTGGACAAATTCAACCTTGAAATAAGATGCAATTTCTTCGCTGTGAAGGTGATTAAACATTGGGACAGCTTATCAGGGGAGATGGTTGAGCCTCATTTAGATATCTTTTTGGAAGATTTTTTTTTCAATCCAGCTTCTGAGGGAAAGTCTATGGCCAGTGCATGCGGGGTTCAGACTGTTATGGTCCTGTCTGGCATTGGAATCTGTGATTCTGAGTCCCCTGTTCATCCTCTTCCTTCACGAGCCATGGACTGAACAGGAAGCTCGGAATTGCCCTCAATGCATACATAACACTTGCAGCTCTGTATTAAGAAAATGACTATAATTCAATCTCAGGCTTCAGCCAGTGGCCTGCAGAGATCAGGAAGGAATTCCCCTCTCCCCCCAGTGCATAGTAGTTCAGAGGTGTTCTGGGATTTTGTTTGTTTGTTTGCCTTACTCTGAAGAATCAGAGATTGGCTACAACTGGAGACAGGGTGGACCAGTGCTCCCGAGGATGTGCAGAGAACCATAGGGTTAGAAGGGATCACAAGGTTCATCTAATCTAACCCCCTGCCAAAATCAGGATGTGTTGTGTCTAAATCATCCAAGACAGGTGGCTATCCAGCCTCTTTCTGAAAACCTTCAGTGAATGAGCTTCCACAACCTCCATAGACAGAGAAGCCTCTTTCTAGATGCCATGTTTTGCTCACTTTCTCAGGGTCAAATGTAGCCCCAGATCTAAGGTGGGGAAGGAGTTTTCCCCTAGGTCAAACAGGCAGGGACGTTGGATGTTTTCTCCTAGCTTTGCAGCATCAGGTGTAAATCGCCGGCTGGGGTCATGTGGGCATGTCTTGCCTAATCCATTCCCTCCAATTGCAGAGACCTTGGGCATTGAGGGCAACTTGGTCTCCGCTGTTCTCTACCTGTGCTGCACAGTTTAGTCTTTGTAGCCTAGGAACCCCTTTGTGCCAATGGGCAAAGGGCACCAGGGGATATAGAATTTTACAGGGATATCGTGGGTCAGTATTTGCACAAGAATTCCACAAAGGGAGGCATGTAAGGTCTCTACTGAGAGCTAGTAGCCCACTGGTCATCATCATCATTGTGAAATGAACGTATGTATTATTTCTATACCAGAAATTATGTTCTTAAAGCCTTAATATTAAATGCAGACCATCAGGAAGTGACATACCTTGAACAGGTTCTGTTCAGGAAGGGGCAGTAAATACCTGGGATTTACTTTTGGTCACTGTGTACTTTATGCCTCACAATACAAGTCAATTTCCATACACATCCCCCAGATAATAAAGACCACAAAATCAACAAGAGATCACAAAATCTGCAGGAAGAGACACAGAGCGGGAGGGTGTCCTGTTTATTACTAGGATCAAAGAATTAGGGTGGTATATGAGGAGAATGCAAGGAGACACACAGTATCCATTATCTAGGGGGGAGGCAGACAGCATGTTTTCTCTCATGAAAAAGGACTCACAGCCTGCTTGATTGAAAAGTGCTGGTGAGCAATACTTTATTGCAGATGAGAGCATCTTATTAAGTAAGTCTAGAATGCATATTATGATTTTATTTTATATGTAACCATTTGTGTTCAGGTTTCAGAGTAGTAGCCATGTTAGTCTGTATCCGCAAAAAGAAAAGGAGTACTTGTGGCACCTTAGAGACTAACAAATTTATTTGGGCATAAGCTTTCGTGGGCTAGAACCCACTTCATCAGATACATCTGATCCACTCTATGCATCTGATGAAGTGGGTTCTAGCCCACAAAAGCTTATGCCCACATAAATTTGTTAGTCTCTAAGGTGCCACGAGTACTCCTCATTCTCATTTGTTTTCAATATTTCTACTGGCTATCACTTAAATCTCTATGCATCTTTAAATAAACTTTTACTTGTTGTCACTATCAATATATCTCAGTGCTGCATGTTCATCGGCTTGGTTGATCTAAGGTTTAACTAGGAAGCTGTGGAATATTGTTCATTTGGGAGCAATGAACCTATGAATACTGCTAGCACCAAGTGCACCGGGGCTGGACACTCCAGGGGGAGTATGTTTATCACTGACCTGCCGAGGGACAGCAGAGCTGAGAAGGCTAAGAGGGGAGTGGCTTGTGTTGCCCATGGTCAGTGGCATTGGGGAGTTGACCCATGGCTGGCACAAACACGCTCAGGGCAAGTGGTAGCGAGTTGCCTCACTGCCCTGGGTACCCCTGAGAACTGTAAAGTTTTAATCTAACTAAAGGCTCAGTAGATGGGCACCTGGGAGAAGTCAAATGGCCTGTGATATACCAGAAGTCTGGATGATTGAATGGTCCATTCTGATCTTGAAATCTAGGAATATATGACCTCCCATCACTCCTCCTGTCAAGGTTCCTTCCCCACTCTGAACTCTAGGGTACAGATGTGGGGACCTGCATGAAAACCTCCTAAGCTTACTTTTACCAGCTTAGGTTAAAAGTTCCCCAAGGTACAAACTAATTTTACCCTTTCCCCTTGGACTTCCACTGCCACCACCAAACTTTATCTGGGTTCCTGAAAAAACGGAGTTTGGAAACATCTTTCCCCCCAAAATCCTCCCAACCCTTGCACCCCACTTCGTGGGGAAGGTTTGGTAAAAATCCTCACCAATTTGCATAGGTGACCACAGACCCAAACCCTTGGATCTTAGAACAATGAAAAAAGCATTCAGTTTCCTTACAAGAAGACTTTTAATAGAAGTAAAAAAGAATCATCTCTGTAAAATCAGGATGGTAAATACCTTACAGGGTAATTAGATTCAAAACATAGAGAAGCCCTCTAGGTAAAACCTTAAGTTACAAAAAAGACACACAGACAGGAATAGTCATTCTATTCAGCACAGCTATTTTCTCAGCCATTTAAAGAAATCATAATCTAACACATACCTAGCTAGATTACTTACTAAATTCTAAGACTCCATTCCTGTTCTGTCCCCGGCAAAAGCATCCTACAGACAGACACAGACCCTTTGTTTTTCTCCCTCCTCCCAGCTTTTGAAAGTATCTTGTCTCCTCATTGGTCATTTTGGTCAGGTGCCAGCGAGGTTACCTTTAGCTTCTTAACCCTTTACAGATGAGAGGATTCTTCCTCTGGCCAGGAGGGATTTTAAAGGGGTTTACCCTTCCCTTTATATTTATGACACCTCCTGTGTTTCAATGACTGTCATACTCATGGGAGCATTGTTGATTCCTCTGTGCCTTTCTTTCCCCTCCCACACTTTGTCTTTCTTGTCTTTGGGGCATGGACTGTTTCTCACTGTGTGTTCCTACAGTGCAGAGCTCAATGGGGCCTTGAGCTTGATTTGGACCTCTAGTTGCTGTAATAATGAATAACAATGATGGATGATGTAAACATGCTGGTTAATTTTCATTCCAGGGTACCATCAAGCTCTCAACTTTTCCCTTCTCCTAAAATGTAAACAGGAAGCCCTGGGTTCTGTTCCTGGCTCCACCACTGACCTTCTGTGTGAAGCTGGGCAAGTCACTTCCTCACTCCGTGCCTCAGTTTCCCCTCCTACCCTTTGTCTGTCTTCTGTATTTAGATTGCAAGCACTTTGGTGCAGGGGCTGTCTCTTACTATGTTTCTGTACTGTGGAGAGTAGAAAAGAAACCTGATCTCAGGCTGGGGTTTTAGGTGGTACACTACTACTAATATAATAACACATTCATAGAATATCAGGGGTGGAAGGGACCTCAGGAGGTCATCTAGTCCAACCCCTTGCTCAAAGCAGGACCAATCCCCAATTTTTGCCCCAAATGGCCCCCTCAAGGATTGAACTCACAATCCTGTGTTTAGCAGGCCAATGCTCAAACCACTGAGCTATCCCTCAGTGTATTTATTCATATTCATCATTCTCATTTCACACTGTAGCTGCCCCGTCTGAATTTTTTTCTCTAATTGACCTATTGGACTTGAAGCAGAAATTAATTCAGAGAAGTTCTCTGTACTGTGTTATCTAAGTCAGGCTAGATGATCCCTGTGGTCATTTCTGGGCGTAAAAATCTATAAATCTATGAATTATTATCTCCTTCTACCCAGTGCCTCTTCTGTCTTATTCCTTATCCTTTGCTGCTCTCTCATGATCTCATAAAGAAAACACAATTTCTTTGATATCATCTGCATGCTCCATCTTTTTTTCTTCACTCTTACATTATGACACTGTGTTTGCCAGTGATAATTCCAGAACACCAGCCTGATTGGGGCACTCTGAACTTAGACTGGACCACAGTGTCCCAGGCCACCTCAGATATTTGCCTTTTTATTCTTAATCCATTAGCAAGCACAGCCCACAGGCCACAATCCTGATAACCCTGAGGCCAATGGGAGCTTGGCTTTGCTCTCCAGGAGGTCATGTTTGGGGCCCATTGTTTG